GGAGGAGTTTGGTTTTTTGTTGGTCTTTTTTTTTTCTTTTTTAAATACAAATCTGCATATTGATTTTTAAACAAACAAACAAATCCCCCCCGCACACGAGCCTGCCTCTGGGAGGGAAATAGCCAGGTGAAATCTCACTCTGTTTCCATGGACAACCCGTCCATTATCACCCAGGTGACTAACCCCAAAGAGGAGGAGATCCTGTCCTGCACTCAGGATAAAGGTGAGCTGCCATCTCTCTTTCTCCATCATTTTTTTTTTTCTTTCTGGAAATCGCTGCTTAAAAATGCACGTAGTAACAACTTGCATTCTTCAGTGACCGTATAATCCTCTCTCTAGGCTGCTGGGAATAGAGGAGGGCTTGTTGGGTTTGGGGGTTTTTTTTGTGGGATGAAGATATTTGCATGAAGGTTTCTGAAACTGCTTGCTGGATACAGCTGAGAACTTCTTACAGTGTTTAAATATTGAGTTTAATCAGCAGTTATTTAAAGAAAATATTCTTATTCGGTGAGGGTCGGCGAGGTAACTTTGTAAGGTTGTCACTTTGCAGTTAGTGCCCTGCTGCAGGGAAAGGATACCTGGATGTGCTGGATGTGTTGGAAGGTTTTGAAATCTCAGCTGTAAAGATTTTCTTCCCCGCCCCCCCTTTTCTGGAAAAAAGGGATTCCTGATTTCTCTCTGCTTTCCTGTATTTCTCCCTGCCTCGTGTTTAAGAACCTGTGTAGCTTTGAGGTTTGTTGTTGGAGGATACTTGTGTGCCTCAGAAAGAAACATGGGCTACTTTTAAAAGCGGGCTGTATTTACTCTGTAGATAAATAGTTGTTGCTTGCGTCAGGCTTCACACTTAGGTTGCATTTTACTCCAAAATAAGATGAATCCAGCCTGGCCGAAGGAGCTGTTTCTCCTCAAAAGTCTAGACGTTGAGGATTGCCCTTAACCTTGTTTCCTTTTGGAAGCTCGGAGGGTCCTTGGGCTGTAAGTGGTTGTGTCCTTACAGCTGGCAATGAGAAAGGTACGGGTAAGCAGCAGGGTTCAAGTTCTGGGGAGTTGTGTGTGATTGCTTGACAGATTTGGAAGTTATTTGGATGTCGAGTTTATGGTTTGTTACAGGCAGTGCTGGTAAAAAGGGGAGAAAGGACAGAAATCAGAAGTAGAGTGTGTGGCGACGTTCCCTAGTAGGTATGGTAATAGACCTCTGAGTGGTCTTCTAAAAATGGTAGATTGATATATCTCCCCCTAAAATCAATGCTTTTAGTATCCAGAAAGCTTCCATTTTTGTGTGGCTCGTCTTGTAAATAGTGAGGGGTCCTGTATCGTTGGAGAAGTTGCTTCCTGTTACTTTCGAATGAAAGGCTGTACGTGAAATATCTGTCTTCTCATCTCACCAATGCTGACTGCAGAAGAAGTATGGAGGTAGATTTAAAAAAAAAAAGCCATCAGGTTGGGGGGTGTTTGAAGGAAAAATTATTTTTTTGTTCAGTATAGGAGTGCTCATGTAACTCTCTTTAATTCATATCGCTTGTGAAGTGATGCCTCCACCACGAGGCCTTGTTTGTCTCAAGAGATTTCTGATGTTTTCCTCTGTTTTGGCAACGTTGAGCGTGGGGTATCTACAGTAAGTAAGGTGCTGGTGCTCTGCCTATGATGTCTGCTAAGACCTGGTTTGGAGTAGACGTACGTGATACTGTGCTCAGATGTTGTTGTGGTCTTTACGGCCTATATTATTGTACGTATGGAAGACCTTCATTAACATTGTTAGCGGCTGGTTGAAATTTTACTGTAAAAAAAGCCAGTTGAGACAAGTAGAGGAAAATTTGACAGCTCAAAATAAGAGTTAACATCCACATCAAACAAGTGTCTTCAGAGTCCTCGGTCCAGTGAGCTGTGCTGCGTAGCGAAAATATGCATATAACTTGCATAACTATGCAGTAACTTGCATAATATGCATTGTGTTCTTGCTATTGGTTTGTCTTCGGCAGAAAATCACAATGGTCTTAATTGCATAGCAGGGGCTTTTCAGGCTGCGTGTTAGCAAGGGTGGGCTGGGAGAGAGCGGAAGGAGGGTAGTTGGAGTTTGAGACCAGAGGAAACTTCAGCATGATCTTAATACAGGAGGTGGATTAATGTTTTTTCTAGGTGTTGTTTTTTTTTTTTTAATGTGGTTAAAGTACATGCTTTGGATTGACTGTGTGCTCTGTGGTGAGACTCTCAAGTCACGCCAGAGCAACTTTTGCAGAAAGAGAATTGCAGGTCTGTCCGTCCTGGACTCTGGAAGGAGAGTGTTGCTTGCTCTTACCTTGTCCGCTACAGGTTTTCCCACTGCTCGAGGTACGGAGCTTGTGAAAACCCATTGCACTGCCTACCTTCCTTGCGTGGTTGCATATCGTGTCACCCAATTTTCTGCTAGATTTCTTAAGTTTTAGCAAAGCCTTTAGGTCCGGTGAGCTACGAGAGAGCCCGAAGCTGAGATGGTGAATACAGATAGGTTCTTAGCGGGAGACTGATGTTTAAAGTGAGTCTTCATTGCTAATTCAGATTGAACTGAATGCATTGGTACAAAATGGCTAACACATTTGTTAAGGCATAATGAATTAACTCTTTATTTAACGAATACAAGAATCATCTGAGCCGATCTTCTGAAATTTTGTAATACAGGGAATTGCAACAGCACTGTACTAATGTGAGCAGAGGCTGTCCAGTTTAATGAAAACCTGCTTTTTCCTCCGAGTTTAGCATTTGGCTGCAGAAATATGTTCCAGGATACTAACTGGCATGTCGTGGCTTCAGGAGTCAGGGTTTTCTTAGGGTTTTTGGGACCTTCTGTTGATGTTTCTCATGGAAAAAATTGATTTTTTCTTGTTGTTAAGCTGGAGAGAAGCAGTTTTACAGTAGCTGAGCAACTGCTAAATAATGCATGTGTATACCTTTAAGTGATTTTTTTTTCCCCCAAGATTTTTTTGAAGCTTTTAATCAGCCGTGAGTCCAGCATTTAGCTTGATTTATTTCTTTTAATGTATTTATGTTTTAGAAGGAGCTTGATGTACAGTATATGCTTATGCCCGATTTCTCTTGTGCAAGGGAGCGCGATTGGCAAGAAACAGAGCTGTTCTCTGGTCATGGGGCAATTATGTCTTTGAGTAAATACTGTGCTTTACAAATAAAAATGCCCAAATATTTTCTTGCTAATCCAGATGTATTAAAAATTAGCTTTTGAGATAAGTGCAGCTGTGACAACTTGTTAAAGAAGAGCTTACTAATACTAAGATGGAATTGTTAACATTTATTTTTAACAAATAGTAAAAAATTTCAAAGGTGGAAAAAAACAGATCTTGGTACAAGAACCATTCCCTAATACGTTGCCACATGGTGGTGCCCTGTATTTAGTTGTCTGTCAAAATGAAAGCTGAATGTGGAAAGTTGCTACAATCGTATTTTATTAGTATTGTAATGTTTGTTCTGAAATGCCTGCAGTGTTCGTGCTGCTAGAGGATTTTGGTCCCTATCTGTGTTGTTAAATTAGTTCTGGGAAATAGAAACTTACGTTCTCCCAATTGGAAGTGATACGTAGCTGATTAAAAATATTTTGAGCACTAAATTCATGGACAATTTAATTCCCTGTTAGTTTTTTAAGTAACAAAAAGAGTAGTTCTTCGCAGAAATATTTTTATGTTGTGGTCATTTGGCACTTCTGGAAACTGGAAGCATTAACAAGACTTGTAACTTGAAATTAAAATGGAGACATAAGTATGTGAAAAGGGGTTTGTTATATCAGCGGTAAATGTGAGCAACTAAGAAAACATATAAATAAAAACTACAAAGGAAAACTGAAAATCTGAATCTCCGTATAATCAGTTCTACAGATAAAATCAACTGTTTATTTTATAAGGAAAGTATTAATTCTTATTAATTAGTTGAACAGTGGCCTCATGTAAAATCTGTACAGTTAAATCTATAGAAAACAGTGCAATGCTGGCAAGTCTTTGTACTGAGTGTCACTTAGAGGGTGTGATCACGGATGGGTAATAGGCATTCCGTCCAAAGAAGTGAATTGCCCTTTTTTACCTACATGCTTTAATTTGATCCTCATAAATGATGTAAATTCTTGGTTGTTTCCATGTGCCAAGTTAAGTAGTAGCATAATGATAGTCCAGTCCTCCTTCAGGTACCAAATCCTTCAGGCTGTGGTGTTGTGTTTTCTCTTTTCTGATACATCTTTCCTGATTTCTACAAAATTTGTCTGTCAGCTGAGCATCTATTTTCAGTTATTTAGAGTAACTGAATGTTTTAGTGTCCCTACAGAAGTGTATTTTCTTCTGCAATAAATTATTTGAAAAAGGTTCACAGTGGAACGTAAACCATTATAATTTTTTTTAATGAACAGTGTAATTCCCCGAGGATGTTTTCACAAACAGGCAAACTTTTTTGCCTTCCTTTCTTTCAAATAAAATTGGGAAAAACCAGCAATGAGACCAGTATTCATTATCATTTCAAATAGCAAGTTCTTAAGATCTCAACTTAAAAGCCAAAATAAGTGTCTTTAATTGTGTCTTCAGTAAAAAGCATTTTGAAAATATATGAAAATATTTTGTATATTTTTTTGCCATTACATCACCGGTTTTCAGAGTACTCAAACATTTGAACATAGGTTAACGTTCCTGAGACATTGTCTCAACAAATTTTTATAATATTAACTTCAGAATTTTAACTTTAAAGTAGCATTAAAAAAAAAAAAGTGGAAACCACTCCAGCACTAGATTGGAATGTGAGTTGCTCACAGAGGGTAAAATTTTAAATCATTAACTAATGACATAGTTGTTATATGAAACCAGCGTAACCATACAGTAGGTTTTATGTTCCAGGGAGACTGTAGTAACCTGTAGTAACCCAAGATTTGATTTAGGGTAGCAGTTAACAAGCTGAAGTGTACTGGCAGTAATGTGAATGATAATTTGCATGAATATCTAATATTCAGCCCATGTCTGTAAGCTGCAGCATTATCATTTCTTCATAGTGCATGTCGTCTCAAATTCATATTTGTTTCAATGCAGAGATTTAACTAAAGCGTTCAGAAGTTTAACATGCCTTTAAAAAAACAAAGTTGACCTACATTTTGCCAATTCAGTATTCAGAAATGCAAATAGCATTTTCTGAGCTAATCAGTAAAATGCAGTGTGATCGATGCTACACTTCATCTTTCAGAATTTAATCTGAACATTACAAATA